GGGCAGGGCAGGGCAGGGCAGGGCAGGGCAGGGCAGGGCAGGGCTGGGCAGGGCTGGGCTGGGCTGGGCTGGGCTGGAGTCTTCCCTGGGTCTGGAGGGAGCATGAGAGTGTGGCTGCAGGGGCCGTGGGAGCAGGTCTGCCCTGGCTGTGCCCTCTTGCCTGTCCCATCACCAGTCTGGTGGTATGGCCCTCAGGTCTGTGGTCTCTCCCCTTGTAGGGCGGTGGGCTGCGTTCTAGCTGAGCTGTTGGCCCACAAGCCCCTTCTCCCAGGCACCTCTGAGATTCACCAGATTGACCTAATCGTGCAGCTGCTGGGGACACCCAGCGAAAACATCTGGCCGGTGGGTAACCTGGCAGTCCCCAGTGCCCCCTGTGCCCAGCCCGTCCGTGGCTCCAGCCCTGCTTCCTGCAGGGTTTCTCCAAGCTGCCCCTGGCTGGCCAGTACAGCCTGAGGAAACAGCCATACAACAACCTCAAGCACAAGTTCCCCTGGCTCTCCGAGGCTGGACTACGCCTGCTGAATTTCCTCTTCATGTATGACCCCAAGAAAAGGTCAGATCCCGCCTGCGGGCAGTCCTGCGAGTCAGCATTTGCAATGGGAAGACCCTGCTCTCTGCAGAGGTGGAGGGACCCTCAAACCCACATCCCTTATTTGTTCTTGTGGTGCTGGGTCTGAACCTGGAGCCACATCCCCTGGGCCAGTGTTCTACCCCTTCCCCCAGCTCAAGCAGAACCTTGAAAGACAGTGTCTCACAACGTGGGCCGCATTGCTGCCAACGTCCAGGGTGGGTTCTCTCTGCTGCTTCCTGTGGTGGAACTCACTGAGGTTCCCTGTGGTCTCTGGACCCCAAACCTCTCTTTACCCTCTACCCTGCTACTGGAAGTTTAAAACCAAGTGGGTGGGGTGTGAGGGACCAGACCTTTTGAGGCCAGCATCCCATTAATAGGCTGCCTTTCTGCAGGGCGACCGCGGGGGACTGCCTGGAGAGCTCCTACTTCAAGGAGAAGCCCCTGCGTAAGTTCCCCAGACCCTCTGGGTTCTGTTCTCTGGGGGCTTGCTGGGCCAGTGGCCCTTTTCTTGGTGGGTGGGCTTCCAAGGCAGGCAGGAATGTGGACATCCTGGATAGGTGAGGACCTGGAGCATGCCCCATGGCCTGGTCTGCGGGGGAGCCACCCATCCCTCTACCCTAACACTGAACTGCTCCTCTCCTGCAGCCTGTGAGCCGGAGCTCATGCCCACCTTCCCCCACCACCGAAATAAGCGAGCTGCCCCAGCCACTGCAGAGAGTCAGAGCAAGCGGTGTAAGCCCTGAGGTGGGCCTGCGTCAGATGGCCAGGCCTGCAGTGGACTGGGAATGCCCCTGCAAGTCAGGCTGGGCCTCCTGGGAAGTTGGCATGCAGCTTGGCCCCAGGCTACCCTCGACCTTCCTGTTCCTTCAGCTGACTCCACCCTGCCTGTGCCTAGAACCAGGCAGGTGTGGACGTGGGGTGCAGTAGGGGCGGGAGCTCCAGCCTGTGTGCCCAGGTGAGCTGAGTTGTTGTGGCAACACCTGGTGGCTGTGCAGGGTCTTGTCTGGCAGAAACTCCCGAGAGGATGACACACTGGTGCTGAAATCTCAGGCGGTACAACTTAGGGGGGTCTTGGAGCCAGGGGTGGGCACTGGCCTCTGAGGACTGCTGTGCTGTTGCCTCTGGGTCACAGGGGCTGCACAGGGCTCAGAGAAGCTGTGGTGACCCTGGGCAGGGCTGGGAGGGGGCACCCTTGAAACTTCTGAGAGAAGCGGCTGGCTCGCACCCTGAGGAAGAGAGACACTTCCTAATAGACCTGGTTTCACCGCTGTTTAATACACTGTGGGTTCTTGCTTGTGTGACATGGACAGTGTCCTCTGAGTGCACTGGGGAGGAAGAGCAGGATGGGGCACAGATCGCCGTACCTGCCCCCTGAAGCTGGGCCAGGGCGGACTCTGCACTTACCCATCCCTGGATGGGTTGGCGTCCTGGGGACCCTGGTCTAAGGGGCCCTAGGTGGCCTCCAGGGAAAGCAGGCTGTGGTTTTTCCCTCTGGGGTCTGCAGCAGCTGCACAGACCCACAGTGGACACAGCAGTCCAGTGGGTGGCCTGCAGGACTTGCCCCCTCTTCTGCTGGGAGGCAGCAGGGGTGCTGGTTGCTGAGCCTTCTCTCCACTGGGTAGGAAGTGGCACAGCTGCCTGGGCTCCTCCAGCCAGCATCCCCTGGCTGTGACACCGTGGGGAGGCCAAGGCCCTCAAACCAGATCAGCTGGCACCTGGCAGCTTCCCAGATTGGCCCAAGTGGAACTTAGGACCTTCATGGTGTTCCTGCAGCCCCTGAGCAAGCCACACGGAGGGTGGGCAACCTGCTGTCCTGGACCACAGGCTGCAGGGAATGGACTAGGAGCTACAGGCCAGCCAGCAGGTGAGGGGACTTTAAAGGGGTGGGTCCTTCTCAGGGACAGGTTCGGGCACTGGTGACGGGGACCCTTCACTCAGTATACTGGGCATGGAGGACAGGGGCACATTGGCAGGTGTGTCCATCCAGCTCAGGGCTTACTGCCAGCTGGGCCTGAGCCTGGCCCCTGGGGGAGGAGGACCTGGTACTGGCCCCAGGCAGGAGCTTCCCATGGAGGCTCTGCCCCCACCTCCCTGGACTCCCCCAGGGATCGGGAGACCAGGGCATTCAATGGCCTTGGCCCCTCCAAAAGAGCAGCACCATGGAAATTCCTGAAAACCCTTGACCTGAGCCAGTTGGGCCTAGGGGCGGGCCCCTGGGCTGTCGTACAGCAGGGTGTCCACCTGTGCACGCTGCAGCCACAGGCGCCTCTGGGCCTCGCTGAGCAGTGCCCGCAGTGAGTGGCTGGGGCGGCAGGCTGATAGGGCTGTGCAGTGGGCAGCGTGTAGCTGGTGGCAAGTGTCACAGCAAAGGGTGGGCAGGGCACCGGGGGCTAGACAGCTGTGTGCCTGGTAGCTCAAGGGCTCAGGGACAGGCGCGAAGGCTGAGGCCCCCTCTGCCCGCACATGTCGAGGACTGGCCCTCCCTGGGCTCCCAGGGCCTTCAGGAGCAGCCAGGTCCCCAGGTCGGCTCAGCTCATGGCGCAGTGAAAGGAAAGAGAAGGCAGAGGGCTCAGGCTCCAGCTCCTCCTCCAAGGCCCCATAGGGGGGGCTGCTGGCTCGAGGCAGCTCCTCTGCTGGGGGCTCCCAGGCCCCACCCCCAGGGCCCCACAGTTTGGCACTCTGCTCCCAGAGTGGCGGCCTGTAGGCCAGTTCCACAGGGGGCGAGTCTGCACCCGGCGAGGGCTCCCCGTAGAGGCTGGCCTCCTCCGAGCCCTCGTCTTCCTGAAGGTCCCGGTACAGGTCCAGCGGGGCCCCGTAAGCAGCAGGAGCGCCCCGGGGAGGCAGAGGTGGTGGCTCCTCGTCCTGGGCCAGCCGCTGCTGCAGCCAGGCCACGCAGGAGGCCACATCCCCACTGGCCCGCCGGGCCCTCAGCAGCTCTTCTGCTGGCAGCACACTGGTGCCCAGCTGGGTCAGCACCTCACCCAGGATCTCACACTCCAGCCGGAGGGCGAAGCAGCCCAGGGCTACCTGCACCAGCTGGCAGGCAGGGGGCAGAGCGGTCACCATCAGGCGGTGGCTGTCCCTGCGCACGTAGCCCATCTTCTGGAAGCTCTGGATGAGGAGCTCCTCGGAGAGCACACCCTTCAGCACATGCACGTAGCCCCCCGAGAAGGTCTGCAAGGGAGGGGCCTGGTCAGGCCCTCTGCCGGCCAGGCCCCAGCACTGCTCTGCCCTGGCTAGGGCAGGTCCACCCTGCCTAGAGCAGTTCTCCTCTTGGACTCTCCCACCTCCTCCTACCCCTGGTTTTGCTCCTCTAGTCTATCCCCTTAAAACAGCGTCTTCAGCTCTCTCCTGCTTTTCTGCTTCTCCACGACAGTACTGGAGACCTTTCCTCACCAGGGCAAGAGGCTTTGCTGTGCATCTTTTCCCTACTGTGTAGTATTCCCCTGCCTGGATGCAAGACTGGGGATTGAACCAGGGCTTCGCCTATGTGAGGCAAGTGCCCTACTTGCCTGAGTTACACCCTAGTCCTCTCGTGCAGGTAGGTGAGTGCCCTGAAATGGCTTTCTAGAAGAACCAAAAGGATCATGAGACCATGGCATTGTGCCTCTCCTAAGTAAGTTCTGAAACTCCAGGGCTCTGTGGAGCACCCCTCTTCTTACAGCAGCTGGAGGCACACACCTCCCAGGTACTGAGCACTAGCTGTAGAACTTCCTTTTCTGTGGACTTGTGTCCCTTTCTCAGAAAACAAAATGGGCTCAGAGAGATTAGGTAACTTGCCCAAAGTCACACAGCCAAGAGGCAGATCCAATCACCAGCCAGCTCTGCTTCTTCCCAGCCTCCCCCTGCGCTTGTGAGACCCTCAAGGACAGGCCTGGCCATTCTGCTTTTGCCCCTCCCCACCATGGGGCTAGTGGGCCCTCCTTACCCCTAGCCTGAAAGGCTGAATAAAAGTTCAACGACCTTGGACCAGCGGTGCCCCAGTGGAGCTGCCAGCTCCTGAGTTCCTTCGAAGAGGCTGTTGGCAGCTAGGCAACCGGTGGAGGCGTACCTCGCCCACGTGGGCACTGACGTCATCACCCTCCTACTCCTCCCAATTAGCTGGGAGCATCCGGCAGCCCTGCCCCCTCCAGCTCAGGGCAGCTCCCCAGAGAGCCCTAGCCGGGAACCTGGTCCGTGCCATCCCCCATCCGTGCTTCCCCGTCCCCCCGTCCGGCTTCAGCATCTTCCTTTACAGACCAGATCAGGCGGAGGAGTTGGGGTGGGGCATGGGCCTCCAAGTCCCCCTGTGCGCCTGTCCTAGGATTTCCATGGCAACTGGGGCCGCGGGGCTGGGTAGATAGGCACCCAAAGCTGCCCTGCGCCCACCGGGGACCTCAACACGCCCACGGGCTCCTAGCGCTTCGGGCCCTGAGGACACCTGAAACCGCGAAGGGGGGGGTCACTCCCCACGGTAACCGGCAGCGTCCGGCGCCCTACCTTGATGGTGGTGAACTCCTTCCTCCAGGGCAGCAGGTACAGGTGTACGGCCGCTAGCTCCAGCAGCTCGAAGGCCCGTGCCAGGCCGCGGAGCGCGGGCGCCAGGTCGGCGCGGCCCCACAGGCCGTCGGTGAGCAGCGCCAGCGCGTCGTCCTGCAGCGCCCCGTGCAAGTCGAAGTCCTCCACCAGGATCTGCCAGAGCACTGCGCGCAACGAAGGGTCTCCGCACACGCCCGCGCGGCCCCGCCGCAGCTCGCGCTCCAAGCACAGGCGGTAGTCCTCGGACAGCGAGCTGCTGCCCATCCTGGCGAGCGGGTCGGGGCGTCAGGAACTGGAGATTACTCCCTCCCGACTGTGTGACCCAAAGCCCCCGCATCCAGCATCCTCTCCCAACTCGGAGACCCTGGCCTCGCCAGTAGGGCGGGCCCCTTGTCTGCAGCTTCTCCCGAGCCTGGAGGCCGGATCCCGCCAGCTGAACGCCCCTGCTGTCCACAGCAAGCTCTCACACCTGCAGACCTCGTCCCCACCAGCTGAGCGCTCCCCCGCACAGCGCCTGCGGACAGCCTCCAGCTCTACAGCCTCGCCCTGCCGGCGGTGCGCGTCCGGCATGGACGTCACCTCCTTCCCTGGAGTCCCTCGCCCACCAGATGCTCTGGACCAGGGTGCTGTGGACCCATCAGGCGGCGGCGATACCGATACCTGTCGGTCCCCAGCCGTCCGCGAGCAGCCGCCTCTCCGAGTGTATCTTCCCACGGCCGCGAGCTTCCGCGGGAGTCGACTCCGCCCTAACCCTAGCCGTGGCGGTGGGTGGGGCTTAGAGGGCGCCACCCTGTGGGCGGGGCTGG